ACACACACACACACACACACACACACACACACACACACACACACACACACACACACACACACACACAGCATGCTGGCCCACAGCATTTTGCGTAACTTAAATTAATTTGATGAATCAATTCTGGACACATTTCTGGGCATCTGCATCCCACAGCAGGAAGATGATTTYTGTTTTATACGTAAGCTCAAACACATGTTTCAGAAAGCCATTTTTATTTAGATTATGACTTCATCCTGGCCATCATATTGCGCATCGTCACACATTAACACTGACATAAGAGTTGATGTATTATGTCCAAATGGTTACATTACTTGAGTTAATGCAGATTATTTTAAATGAGCTCCTTATAATACTCCTCACAGGAAAATTATCATAATAAAATGACCCATAAATTGCAATAAAATATTCGACATACATTCAAATGCACTGATGGGACCATCTTTGAACAATTTGTTCAAATTAGAAAATTGTTCACAACGATTACATCCAAATGTCACAGAAACATTAATTTTATTCTCAGTATTTATGCAGCAAATAGGAAACATAAAAACACGTTCAGTAAACATGACAAAGTTTTCTCAGCGTTTTAAAAAAAATCAAATTAAGTTTTTGATTAAAGCAATATTATTAAAGGCTTTTAGTTCAAGGTAAAATGCTATGACAAACACTTTACTGCACATGAAGACTCAAGAAATAACATTTGTATGTACCCTTTCATTAGGTGTATTTTTGTTTGCTTAAATAAGAAGCAATCATTATTGTAAGTTAATCTCTTATGACATATTAAGTCATAATTATGAGAAAGTTATACTTAAGAGATAAATAAAATATGATAGGACATAATTTAAAGTCAGAAGGATTATAGGTTAGACATAAATAGTCATGAACTATTATTTTACAGGCTAAGGGAAAGAATTTCATAATTTAGAGAGMTTTTTTTRTCATCAGTTTAGACATGAGCAAATTCGACATAATAAACTAATTGCATATTAAAAGAGTTATAGTTTGATTTAAATATGAATTTTCCTGCCTGGGGTCACGTGAAYCTGATCAATGATGACGGCGGAGCTGAGATGAGGATTTCACATTTGTGTTGACAATTCATGAAAACAACTTCCTATCGCGCGTTTCAAAATAAAGGTCACTCATAGTTGAAATGCCGCCGCTTGTAGAAAACAAAAACATTTTTGAAAACTTATCCCTATAAGAACAACTTTTTTGTTGAAAATCACAAGAAAAGACCTGCTGTAGATGAGAAGTACCCTCTCGTGTGACGGCCGTTCTTTTATTTTTGGAATAATAACTTTACTTCCGGTGTTGTCCTTGCTCCGGCGTGGTTTGGCTTGACGCAGCTGCTCTCGTGATATGAGTGGAGTGAAGGCGTATTTGGAGGGATAACGACAGCAGGCTCGGTTAGGTCAGTGTGAGTTTAAAGCCAATCTGCTGCTGCTGCTACAGAGACTCATCTCTCGGTGACGGACGGATAGGAAACAGCCGGAAGAAGCCAAAGAAGTGAGGCAGCTGTGAGGCGCTTTAAATGGCCACAACATATCCTAAAGGGAGACGCTGCTGCCCGTAAAACCTCCTACCTGTATATTCTAACAATAATAACACCCAATGCGTCCTGGGAACGAGGTCGTACATTTTGAGTAAATTGCACCCAAAGGAAGTTTTTTGGAACCCAGTTTTTGGGAGATTTGCTGGTTGCAYTCATGGACGAAGACAACCAAGGTACAATTCAGTAATTTATACAGGTGATTTCTGTGCATATTACAGAAAACATGCAATTTTGTACCTGTGTGATGATAATAATAATATTAGTAATAATAACAACAATAATTGTGATGATAATAACAATGCTAATGATGATGATATCTACAGAAATGTCACATATGCAACAGAAACAGCATTTTCCTGGACTGACATTCCAAAGGAAACCCCCCTCTTTGCTCTTGGTTTGCTTTAATGGTTTAAAGTTCAGTTTAATCTTTGGTGCTAGACATGTTTATTTAGGTTGGAAATGTTGACCCATGCTGTAAGATGATGATTCAGCCTTAACCAGGTTATCAGGATAAGCATGGATGATTGACAAAAGCATCCCTGTCATTGTCAGACATGCTGTTAGTGCTGCGTTCAGTGGACCTGTGTTTATCTACGCCTTTGTCAGCTGGCTGCTGCTGTCAACGTGGCCCCACAGGTCTTCTCATGCATGGTCACCAAAGCGTGGCTGTGAAAGACAAATTCATTTGCAGAATCTTGACAAAAGGTTAGTTAGTTTTTAAAAACGGGGCTGCAGGGTGCAACACAGTTTTCAAACTCTGAAAGAGGTAACCTGTTTGCAAACTGAGCACTGATGTGCAAACCTTGTGCCTTCTAACTAAACAGGATGCAGTGAAACTGTATGTCACTGTAAATAGCCTCGAGTCAACTCCAACTGCAGATTTTGCATAAACTTTGGAACAATGTTTACTAAAACAGCATGTGACTGATGATACTYTACTTCTTTCCAGGAAACTTTGTGTACACCTGACTTACATCAACTCTTTGACCCGGTTCTTCAACTGAAAAACTGTACCATATTTTTATGTTGAGTTGCAGGTGAAGTGAGACACACTCTCTCCAATTATATCTGCACAGGAGTGGTTTTCTGCAACACTTGTTCACTCCAGCAAGGATAAGGCTAATTGCTGGCATGAAGCTGTGAGTTTGCTGTCCCCTGGTTGCCCACATCATCAGCATATAGTCCCCACAGACAGACATATGCTGCCATGATGGGGAGCAGGAAAAAGCTGACAACAGACAGGAGCATATAAGCACACACTCACATCCCTGCAGGATAACACACTGACACACAAGCGACACCATTTTTTTTTCATTTTCCCCTTCTGGTGCTTTTTGCTGTGAAGATGTCTATACGGATGGCTGGGTATTAATGACCTAGAATGATAAGAGGGTTGATGCTGTTTTATCTACAGTCTCTCCTCTTGTATGGAATAAATATTGTCCTAAATGCTGCAGAACATTAAAGCTGCAAATCTCAAGGTTTACTGTCTTTTTTTTGTGTGTGTGTGTGTGTCTAAAACCACAATTTTCTTATAATTTGAACAAGTTAGCGTCACGCACGCCTACACAAGATCCGACAGTAGAGTAGGAAGCTGCAGGGGGGCGGGACAGACCAAAGAACGGGCTAGGTGGGGGGTATCTGTGCTTACTGGGATTACACGCTTGAATCTGCTCAGGGTGATGCTGCGCGTAGGTGGCAGCTTGGTTGACAAGGTTCAATATCTGACTGTCATTGCTCGCATGGTGACACACACTTACTGTGCCAGGCCACGGTCTGAGAGGGGGGGGTGGCTAAAAAGTGGCCGACATAATGAGGTGTTGAGTGTCCCAGGGAGAAAAGCACATGTGACTGTATGCAGTGAAATGTTGTGGTAGTGGTGAAGGTGAGACATTTTAAAAGYGGTTGTGAGGCTGGAAATATGTGCAGTATGTGTGTGTTGAGGAGGACTGGATGAAGTGTCAAAAAGAAGATAGAAAATTGCACATGAAGTATGATGCCCCGCCAATCAAAGTCAGCGATGGAGAGGGAATGAACTAGATATTCTTCAGAGTATTACAAGAGTTTCTTTCAGTAAAAACCCTTCAGCTCTGTGATGAACTCTCTGAACGGCAAGCAACCATCTATGACCAGATATCAAACCAGGTCATACTTTCAACAGAGGTTCATATCTTTTCCTGTGTCTCCCTCTATGTGCTCTTCTTCTGCTTCATGCTGTTTACGACTGGAATATGTTTTGTTCCACTTTACTGATGAGAACTAACAAGTTGCTAACAAGCTGATCCTCTGAAGGACATTAGGTTGGTTCATATAAAATTAGCATAAAAGGTAAGGGAACTTGTGTTTGGAAGATTATTTCTTTGTTATAACAATGCTTCTTGGCAATAAGTCTTATAGCTACTGTTGTAGTCAAGACCACCTAACCCAAGACCAAGACAAGACCAAAACCAGAGTGTATCGAGATCCAGACAAGACCAAGACTTTTAGGGGCTAAGATATGGGATAACACAACTGTCAGAAAGAATTGTACATGTAAGAGTCTAAATTGTACAAATCTAAAATTTATGCATGGTTATTGACTTACATGTACATATTTAGACTCTACACATACAGTTCTTTCTGACAGTTGTGTTATCCCATACGTTTGGCACAGAAGCAGATTGCTAACGTTTGCGAACATCACTTACACATAGTTTACCTTTCTTTGTGCTTCCTTTATAAGTGACTAGGGGTGTAACAATAGATCCATATCAAAATATCTATTAAATGGTTCATGATTCAATTGTATCGAGGCAAAATGAAAATATTGATCTATATCGTCATCAAATGCTCGATGTGGATCAATATATATACGCCTATGTAATGCAGTCATTGTGTTAGATGGGCATATGATATTGTATTATATCGATTGGAGACTTGTAAATTGAATTGAAATCATATTGTGAGTTGTGACAGACATTGTGATATTGAGAAATATCTAATCATCATCAAAACAAATTTATATAATATTCTATCATGATATAGCTGGTGATTTATACCCAGATGAGTGATAGTAAAAGTTTGATGTAGTCCCCATCGTCTCTGAAAGCAAACAATGCAAAATATGCAAGTTGGTGTTAGCATTACTGAAGATTCTACAGATGTGTTCTCTCACTCCCAGACGACTACTGCTCACTTTCATGGAGTTCCTTGTGCGAGCAAAAGAGGGTGGGGAATGGGTAACAGCGGTAACAAAAATGCATAATTAGCCATGAGTCACACTTGTATTTGAATCAGTGTGTTTTACATCCAATGAAAGTGAGGATGCAAATAAGTTGGACTAAATTCTGGTAATTTAGTGATATTTTCACAGTTGTGGTCTTGAAATAAAAATCCTGAGCCCTTAATATCTAAGACCGAGACAAGACTGAGTACAAGTGTGGTAAAGTCCAAGACACGACAAAGACCATAAAAAAGTGGTCTTGAGATAGGTCTCAAAACCAAGACTGGTATTGAGTACTACAACACTGCTTATACCATTGGAAAAACCTGTTAATTTGTAAGGTATACACTTGTGGGATGAGCAGTAGGGATGAGTACGTGGTTGCGTACATGAAAAAGTTACCAAATCTTTTCTYCCATTGTCAATGCTTATTTTACTGCTAATCAGATGCCTGGTATAAGATTTTATTAACATGATTGTTACAACAAAGAAATAATCTTCCAAACACAAATTTCCTTACTTTGTGCTGTTTATTTGTTTCCAGGTAAATGAACTCTACAGTATACTCTATATACATATATACAGTATATATACTG